AAGATTGTACTTTTAGGTTATTTTTCATATACACAGATCACATCTGATAATTCTTCAATAAATCTGTATGTGAGACATTTAAAAGGCCTTTTGAAAGGCCTCCTTCCCCTTCCCTCTCCCATTTGTTTTACACTCAGACGCAAACAGTCACACACAGAGTATTGTTTAATATTTTTGTTGCCTCAGGTCAATTTGGCATTAAAAATTTTGTATTCGTTTTGTTTATTTACTTTTATTTGTATGTTCTTGAAATTTTCCCTCACAGGAAGGAAAAAATTCGTTAAACTTTAAAAAAAGTTTTAACAATTTTTTAAATGTTGTTGTATGTATTTTAAGTTGGTATTTAGGAGTTTTTTTCATAGTCATTAAAAGCCCAGAAACTTTTATTTTTTTTTTCATTTTGGTGTATATCTACAAACTGTATTTAACTTTATTAACAAGTAAGAATTTATTTAAAAAGTTAGAAAAAGTAAATACTTACTTAATAAAACATAGGGAAAAAAGTTAATTTTGTTTTAGGTTTTTTTTTAAATGCGGATAATATTTACTGTTAATTGTATACAATGATATGAAAGTAAGGAATTTCTGTTTTTTATAGAAAAAAATATTTATATAATAGAATTCTAGGAATTATTGCTAAAAATAGCATCTAAGTGGGTTATAGAAAAATGCAAATAGTTATAAGGAATAATTTTTTATTTAGTCTTTCAACATTTTGTCCAAAAAGTGTGAGCGGTTTTTATTTTAATATTTCTAAAATAGTTTGATTTTTACCTTCATCATAAATCTTTTACATTTATCGATTTTGCAAAAGAGCAATATGTTTGCTAAATATCCCAGCAAAAACTTGGAACGTGTGATGCATATCCTTGTCGTCTAATATTTTCTAAAAAAAAACAACTTCCTCAACTGCCAATTTTTTAACTCATTACTTTTTAATTATAGTTTTTGCTGGGATCTTTACTCTTTATGTAAAATATGGTGTGTTTTTTCCTACATCATCATAGACTTGTCTTGGAACTCATAAATAAAGTTTCAGTCCGATTGTTGTGACAGTCATAACACTTTTGGGAGCAATACTATAGAAAAGAACGTTTTTTTCCAAAAAAACACATTTAACAGCAAAAAGCTAAGAGCAAAGAGACCTATAGAATCCTTTAGCATTATATCTTTAAACGAAGCTCGATATTTTGTGTTTTTTTCATAACCTTTTTATTTATCACTGTGATAAATGAGTCGCAAAACAAGCATGTGATTCATCCACATATACCCATTTATAAAATATTAAAACGAGCAAAAAAAATTTAAAAGTGCAAAAAAAAGTTAACAATTTAAAGTTGCTACTAAATGACAAACAATTTGAAAATGCATGCATTTAATATGTAAACTGTGTCAGCCTGATTTGAAATATCTTTCGACTGTTTTTTCACCACTGTTGCCGCAGCCTTTTGTTGCCATTGTTACCATGTCTGTGTCAAAAAATCAAAATTGATTTTCTTTTATTTTACACTGTTTGCTGTTGTCTTCGCTACTAGTATTAGATTTATAGCAATTACACAGTTACTTCTGTTCGAGAAAAATTAATTTAGGATTTTTTCTAAATGTTGTTGCTTTTTCTATTCCCAGCTCTGCCGTCATCACCACCACCTTCTTTTTTCATTCTATATACATATATATGTAGTTGCTGTAGTTGTCGTCAGGCTAAATTGTATTGAAAGCTGCTGTTGTTTTGTCTTTGCCGCATTTGACTTCAATTCAAGTTTGCATAAACATTCGAAAAGATAAATTTCAATTTTTTTAGAGATTTCTTTTCGTAGATTTTCTTTTAGCTTTAAATTAAATTTAATGTGTATTTGTTTACAATTTTTATTTGTTATCTGTTGTAATGTACAGTGGGGTAAGAAGGATAAAAACGTGCTATTATAGTTCAGTTCTAGTTCAGTTCTAGTTCAGTTCTAGTTCAGTTTTAGTTCAGTTCTAGTTCAGTTCTAGTTCAGTTCTAGTTCAGTTCTAGTTCAGTCTAGTTCAGTTCTAGTTCAGTTCTAGTTCAGTTCTAGTTCAGTTCTAGTTCAGTTCTAGTTCAGTTCTAGTTCAGTTCTAGTTCAGTTCTAGTTCAGTTTTAGTTCCGTTCTAGTTCAGTTCTAGTCAGTTCTAGTTCAGTTCTAGTTCGTTCTAGTTTCAGTTCTATTTCAGTTCTAGTTCAGTTCTAGTTCAGTTCTAGTTCAGTTCTAGTTCAGTTCTAGTTCAGTTCTAGTTCAGTTCTAGTTCCGTTCTAGTTTCAGTTTCTAGTTCAGTTCTAGTTCAGTTCTAGTTCAGTTCTAGTTTCAGTTCTAGTTCAGTTCTAGTTCAGTTCTAGTTCAGTTCTAGTTCAGTTTCTAGTTCAGTTCTAGTTCAGTTCTAGTTCAGTTCTAGTTCAGTTCTAGTTCAGTTCTAGTTCAGTTCTAGTTCAGTTCTAGTTCAGTTCTAGTTCGTTCTAGTTCAGTTCTAGTTCAGTTCTAGTTCAGTTCTAGTTCAGTTCTAGTTCAGTTCTAGTTCAGTTCTAGTTCAGTTCTAGTTCAGTTCTAGTTCAGTTCTAGTTCAGTTCTAGTTCAGTTCTAGTTTCAGTTCTAGTTCAGTTCTAGTTCAGTTCTGTCAGTTCTAGTTCAGTTCTAGTTCAGTTCTAGTTCAGTTCTAGTTCAGTTCTAGTTCAGTTCTAGTTCAGTTCTAGTTCAGTTCTAGTTCAGTTCTAGTTCAGTTCTAGTTCAGTTCTAGTTCAGTTCTAGTTCAGTTCTAGTTCAGTTCTAGTTCAGTTCTAGTTCAGTTCTAGTTCAGTTCTAGTTCAGTTCTAGTTCAGTTCTAGTTCAGTTCTAGTTCAGTTCTAGTTCAGTTCTAGTTCAGTTCTAGTTCAGTTCTAGTTCAGTTCTAGTTCAGTTCTAGTTCAGTTCTAGTTCAGTTCTAGTTCAGTTCTAGTTCAGTTCTAGTTCAGTTCTAGTTCAGTTCTAGTTCAGTTCTAGTTCAGTTCTAGTTCAGTTCTAGTTCAGTTCTAGTTCAGTTCTAGTTCAGTTCTAGTTCAGTTCTAGTTCAGTTCTAGTTCAGTTCTAGTTCAGTTCTAGTCAGTTCTAGTTCAGTTCTAGTCCAGTTCTAGTTCAGTTCTAGTTCAGTTCTAGTTCAGTTCTAGTTCAGTTTCTAGTCAGTTCTAGTTCAGTTCTAGTCAGTTCTAGTGTTCAGTTCTAGTTCAGTTCTAGTTCAGTTCTAGTTCAGTTCTAGTTCAGTTCTAGTTCAGTTCTAGTTCAGTTCTAGTTCAGTTCTAGTTCAGTTCTAGTTCAGTTCTAGTTCAGTTTAGTTCAGTTCTAGTTCAGTTCTAGTTCAGTTCTAGTTCAGTTCTAGTTCAGTTCTAGTTCAGTTCTAGTTCAGTTCTAGTTCAGTTCTAGTTCAGTTCTAGTCAGTTCTAGTCAGTTCTAGTTCAGTTCTAGTTCAGTCTAGTTCAGTTCTAGTTCAGTTCTAGTTCAGTTCTAGTTCAGTTCTAGTTCAGTTCTAGTTCAGTTTTCTAGTTTCAGTTCTAGTTCAGTTCTAGTTCAGTTCTAGTTCAGTTCTAGTTTCAGTTCTAGTTCAGTTCTAGTTCAGTTTCTAGTCAGTTCTAGTTCAGTTCTAGTTCAGTTCTAGTTCAGTTCTAGTTCAGTTCAGTTCAGTTCTAGTTCAGTTCTAGTTCAGTTCTAGTTCAGTTCTAGTTCAGTTCTAGTCAGTTCTAGTTCAGTTCTAGTTCAGTTCTATTCAGTTTCTAGTTCAGTTCTAGTTCAGTTCTAGTTCAGTTCTAGTCAGTTCTAGTTCAGTTCTAGTTCAGTTCTAGTTCAGTTCTAGGTTCAGTTCTAGTTCAGTTCTAGTTCAGTTCTAGTTCAGTTCTAGTTCAGTTCTAGTTCAGTTCTAGTTCAGTTCTAGTTCAGTTCTGTTCAGTTCTAGTTCAGTTCTAGTTCAGTTCTAGTTCAGTTCTAGTTCAGTTCTAGTTCATTCTAGTTCAGTTCTAATTCAGTTCTAGTTCAGTTCTAGTTCAGTTCTAGTTCAGTTCTAGTTCAGTTCCTAGTTCAGTTCTAGTTCAGTTCTAGTCAGTTCTAGTAGTTCTAGTTCAGTTCTAGTTCAGTTCTAGTTCAGTTCTAGTTCAGTTCTAGTTCAGTTCTAGTTCAGTTCTAGTTTCAGTTCTAGTTCAGTTCTAGTTCAGTTCTAGTTCAGTTCTAGTTCAGTTCTAGTTCAGTTCTAGTTCAGTTCTAGTCAGTTCAGTTCAGTTCTAGTTCAGTTCTAGTTCAGTTCTAGTTCAGTTCTAGTTCAGTTCTAGTTCAGTTCTAGTTCAGTTCTAGTTCAGTTCAGTTCAGTTCTAGTTCAGTTCTAGTTCAGTTCTAGTTCAGTTCTAGTTCAGTTCTAGTTCAGTTCTAGTTCAGTTCTAGTTCAGTTCTAGTTCAGTTCTAGTTCAGTTCTAGTTCAGTTCTAGTTCAGTTCTAGTTCAGTTCTAGTTCAGTTCTAGTTCAGTTCTAGTTCAGTTCTAGTTCAGTTCTAGTTCAGTTCTAGTTCAGTTCTAGTTCAGTTATGTTATTTTTTTATTTTAGAGCAAATTAAATTCTCCACTGTTCCACAATGTTCGCCGCTGAAATTCGCTCTTATTTATTCTAGTCATTTATTCATTTATTTAGTTGTAATTCTAAGGATTTGCATAAGTTTGTTAGATTGTTGTATTACTTAGATACTCTAATACTTACTTATTTCTATTTTTTTTGAAAAAAAAGAAGCATTGAAAAAAATTCCTAGTATGGATTTAGTTAATGTTCTCTAACATCTAAAATGTAATTTAATTTTCAACTGTTTTAAGTTTTTATTTTTGGCTTTCTATTTTATTTCCTTTACTTAATCTACAGCAGGCTGCTGTTTTTATATATTTCATTCTTTACTCTATTGTTATTTAGTATTTAGATTTTTTTGTAATTTTATTTTATTTCGTTTCATTTCATCTCTCACTCTCTTTTGTTTCTTTCCAGGATTGGGCACTACGTAGTGAAGAACAGAGTCTTTTAATTGAACGTATTTTGGTTTTGATACGAAACGTGCTTCAAGTGCCAGCAAATCCTGAGGCTGAATGTCGTGCCGATAATGATGCCAGTGTACATGATCAGGTTATTTGGGCATTGCATCAGTCAGGCATTTTGGATTTGGTATTGTTCATAATTTCATCGTCGGATGAGAATCAATTTCATTTGCATTGTTTGGAAATTGTTTGTCTGCTGTATCGAGAACAGGTGAGTTATTTTATTTTTAACTACTTTATGACATTTATATTAATGTGCTACATTTGTATAATTCTAGTTCAGTTCTAATTCACTTTTCTTATTTCTAGTTCAGTTCTAGTTATGTTCCAGCTTAGTTTAGTTTAGTTCTTGTTTATTTCTATCTATGAAAGCTCAAAATGTACATTCAATGCAAAGTATATTTTTTAATTCATTTGTTATCTAAAAATATTTTAAGTTCTAAAAACCACATCAAATTTATTAGCTAACTAAATTGAAAAAAAATATCTGCAAAATTGTACTTAAAGCAAGTACCTTTGTATAAAATTTTGACCCCAATAAAATCAATCATAGTATGTTTTACTCGACATACATAGCAATATATAAAAAGTACCCTTATAGTTTCCAAGGGCATTTTACATTCGATGTAACTCTGCCTGCATTTATGTAATATTCTTTATTACAACTTGTGTTATTTAATCTTGGCCTTAATCCAAATTGAGGTTGAAAAAAACTAATACATTAATTTAAAATACAAGCAAATCAAATAAAATAAAATGTTACAAACAAAAAAAACATAAAACTTTATTAGAAATATGCATTGAAAAGTAGACTGACTGCAGTTTGACTGGTACGTGTTCTGTTGGCGTTATGTGTATGTATGTTAAGTTTAGTAACAGAAGTTGTAGCCAAACAACTAAAATAACAATAGACATAAACGAAATACATCTATCTTACAATTCGCAATACACCAAACAGCCAACAAGCTCATCCATTCATCTTTGCTATCCATCCATCCATCCACTTACATCCAACTCTCGTAATATTGGAATGTTGTGTGTGAAGTCTACATGTAGATGATTGAGTGGATGTGTTTAAATTGTTACAGGGTTCTTTCTTTTAGATAGAGGCTAGACATAAATCACGAAATCTTAATTTTCACACGAACATCAACCATAAACCATGGGATATATTTCTTTACATTACCATTGTTATTGCTGTTGCTAATGCCCATCTAGTTGGTATTACGACTCCTCCAATTTGATGGCCACAAACATTTCAATTACAATACAATTTACAAAAGAAATTCCTTTACAAACTCTCTAGAGAACTCGCGTTCCTACACTCTCTCCCACTTTGAACAAACCTTCAATGCAATCCTAACAAATCGTGAGCTCTTTTTATAAACGTAATACCAATACAATAGAAAATCAGACGCATGGATAGACAAAAGTGGAATGAAGGGGGAATGTACAAAAGAGTCATCGAGACGGCCAGGCAGACACAAACATAGAATGTAAAGAAGTATGTAATTGTAAATTCGCATATGGAATTCTATACACTCAAAACAGAATTGAATTATGGTGAAGTTTTTATTTTTTTTGTATTTTTGTTAATGTATTTGTATTGTTGCTATTTCAATTCAATTCCACTTAAAACTCTATTACTAATAGCAACAGATCGAAAATAATTGAACACTATTAGCAATAACGTAATAACTGTTTAACATCGATGTTGTGGGTCAGAGAAGAATGTTCTAGTCCTTTTCCATTTCTATTCTAGTTCAGTTCCAGTTCTGTCCTAGTTCTGTTTTAGTTATAGTTCTGTTCTTGTTGCAAAACATCCACCTTTCAATTTTGAACAATGTTTCTTACTTTTTGAATCACTAGTAAAGGCTTTAAACAAATATATTTTTTTCGTTTATCTCTTTCCCGCAACAGACAGCAGAAAATCTAGCAGATGCCTCATTGCAACGCAGTGTCAGTGAAAAACAACGTGACGAACAAGAACTATTAGCAGCTAGACGACGTGAAAAACAACGTCTGGCGTCAAAGCCGGCTGCCGGTAGACATTCACGTTTTGGTGGCACGTTTGTAATACGTAATCTTAAATCTGTCTCGGATCGGGATATAATCTGCCATCAACCGTTGGAACGTGTTACATCGATTGATTTTGATCGAGAAAAACAGCAACAGAAACGTTCACATCGTCATATACGTGAAGAGGGCCAAATAACGCGTCGTAGTGCATTTTCCGTACGGTAAGTTAAAAAAATAATATAAATACATATATATGTATGTAGTATAACAATGTGTGAATTTTAATAATAATTTTATTATGTTCAACTTCAATCATTTTCATTTGAGCAAATATTTGTTCAAAAATGTTGGGAACAAAAATTTCAATATTTTAAATCTTAAAAAAAAATAAAAGTGCATGGAAGGCTGACTCATACATTATACTTATAAATACATATGTATGTATATTTTGCATATCCTGTTTAACTTATACAAAATTGTATGTTTTTGTTGGTGGTTCTGTAATATTGCATATGAATCTTGCTGCAAACACATCTAAATTTGTAGTTGTTATTGACTTTCATTTCCTGGCAGATTTCTTCTACAAGATGTGCGTGCGTGTGTGTGACTGTATGTTCAAGTAAGACAAACTTGTTAAGTCACATACACAAGTCATTCATTGTATGTATTGCATTTTGAAAGACAATTGAAATTTTGTAAATGATTGACTTGTGGTTTACACCTGACGTCATGTTATTGCAATTGTTGTTGCTGTTGTTGCAATTACAGCAGTTGTTGCCACAATCTGATAGATGTCAGGGTATACATAAGTGTGTGTGTGGCTATGTGTGCGTGTTAGTTCTGTTAACTAATTTAAAGTGTATGACCCTTAAACAAAAACAAGACTTTTGTAAATGAAAGACAACAAATTTTGTACATTGTTGGAAAACTTTTATATATTTTATAAATGTACATATCTACAATGTATTTAATTAATTTAAAACTTAAATTTTTTAACATGGAAGTTTTTTTCTTCGGATATTAAAGATAACCAAAAATTCTGTTAAAATGTATAGATAATATTTGTAATGTCGACACACTATATTCAGAAAGTTTCCGCTCAAAAGGAAAAACCTCCTTTCCATTATATGTCTTTAAGAATCTTACTTATTTCTACATACAAAAGTTTACTTCTAGTTTTTTCCAGTTCAGTTCTAGTTCAGTTCTAGTCAGTTTCTAGTTCAGTTCTAGTTCAGTTCTAGTTCAGTTCTAGTTCAGTTTCTAGTTCAGTTCTAGTTCAGTTCTAGTTCAGTTCTAGTTCAGTTCTAGTTCAGTTCTAGTTCAGTTCTAGTTCAGTTCTAGTTCAGTTCTAGTTTCAGTTCTAGTTCAGTTCTAGTTCAGTTCTAGTTCAGTTCTAGTTCAGTTCTAGTTCAGTTCTAGTTCAGTTCTAGTTCAGTTCTAGTTCAGTTCTAGTTCAGTTCTAGTTCAGTTCTAGTTCAGTTCTAGTTCAGTTCTAGTTCAGTTCTAGTTCAGTTCTAGTTCAGTTCTAGTTCAGTTCTAGTTCAGTTCTAGTTCAGTTCTAGTTCAGTTCTAGTTCAGTTCTAGTTCAGTTCTAGTTCAGTTCTAGTTCAGTTCTAGTTCAGTTCTAGTTCAGTTCTAGTTCAGTTCTAGTTCAGTTCTAGTTCAGTTCTAGTTCTAGTTCAGTTCTAGTTCAGTTCTAGTTCAGTTTCTAGTTTCAGTTCTAGTTCAGTTCTAGTTCAGTTCTAGTTCAGTTCTAGTTCAGTTCTAGTTCAGTTCTAGTTCAGTTCTAGTTCAGTTCTAGTTCAGTTCTAGTTCAGTTCTAGTTCAGTTCTAGTTCAGTTCTAGTTCAGTTCTAGTTCAGTTCTAGTTCAGTTCTAGTTCAGTTCTAGTTCAGTTCTAGTTCAGTTCTAGTTCAGTTCTAGTTCAGTTCTAGTTCAGTTCTAGTTCAGTTCTAGTTCAGTTCTAGTTCAGTTCTAGTTCAGTTCTAGTTCAGTTCTAGTTCAGTTCTAGTTCAGTTCTAGTTCAGTTCTAGTTCAGTTCTAGTTCAGTTCTAGTTCAGTTCTAGTTCAGTTCTAGTTCAGTTCTAGTTCAGTTCTAGTTCAGTTCTAGTTCAGTTCTAGTTCAGTTCTAGTTCAGTTCTAGTTCAGTTCTAGTTCAGTTCTAGTTCAGTTCTAGTTCAGTTCTAGCTCAGTTCTAGTTCAGTTCTAGTTCATTCTAGTTCAGTTCTAGTTCAGTTCTAGTTCAGTTCTAGTTCAGTTCTAGTTCAGTTCTAGTTCAGTTCTAGTTCAGTTCTAGTTCAGTTCTAGTTCAGTTCTAGTTCAGTTCTAGTCAGTTCTAGTTCAGTTCTAGTTCAGTTCTAGTTTCAGTTCTAGTCAGTTCTAGTTCAGTTCTAGTCAGTTCTAGTTCAGTTCTAGTTCAGTTCTAGTTTCTGTCAGTTCTAGTTCAGTTCTAGTTCAGTTCTAGTCAGTTCTAGTCAGTTCTAGTTCAGTTCTAGTTCAGTTCTAGTTCAGTTCTAGTTCAGTTCTAGTTCAGTTCTAGTCAGTTCTGTTCAGTTCAGTTCTAAGTTCAGTTCTAGTTCAGTTCTCGTTCAGTTCTAGTCAGTTTCTAGTCCAGTTCTAGTTCAGTTTAGTCAGTTCTAGTTCAGTTCTAGTTCAGTTCTAGTTCGTTCTAGTTCAGTTCTAGTTCAGTTCCAGTTCAGTTCAGTTCAGTTCTAGTTCAGTGCTCTCTAGTTCAGTCTAGTTCAGTTCTAGTTCAGTTCTAGTTCAGTTCTAGTTCAGTTCTAGTTCAGTTCTAGTTCAGTTCTAGTTCAGTTCTAGTTCAGTTCTAGTCTTCAGTTCTAGTTCAGTTCTAGTTCAGTTCTAGTTCAAGTTCTAGTTCAGTTCTAGTTCAGTTCTAGTTCAGTTCTAGTTCAGTTCTAGTTCAGTTCTAGTTCAGTTCTAGTTCAGTTCTAGTTCAGTTCTAGTAGTCAGTTCTAGTTCCGATTCTAGTTCAGTTCTAGTTCAGTTCTAGTTCAGTTCTAGTTCAGTTCTCGTAGTTCAGTTCTAGTTCAGTTCGAGTTCTAGTTCAGTTCTAGTTCAGTTCTAGTTCAGTTCTAGTTCAGTTCTAGTTCAGTTCTAGTTTCAGTTTAGTTCAGTTCTAGTTCAGTTCTAGTTCAGTTCTAGTTCAGTTTCTAGTTCAGTTCTAGTTCAGTTCTAGTTCAGTTCTAGTCAGTTCTAGTTCAGTTTCTAGTTCAGTTCTAGTTCAATTCATAGTTCAGTTCTAGTTCAGTTCTTAGTTCAGTTTCTAGTTCAGTTCCAGTTAGTTCTACTTCAGTTCCCGTTTAGTTCTAGTAGTTCAGTTCTAGTTCAGTTCTAGTCAGTTCTATTTCAGTTCTAGTTCAGTTCTAGTTCAGATCTAGAACAGTTCTAGTTCAGTTCTAGTTCAGTTCTAGTTCACTTCTAGTTCAGTTCTAGTTCAGTTCTAGTTTTTTGGAATATACATATGTATCTATGTACTGCTTAACGTATAATTGATATTGCCAACAGGAAATCAACATTGCCTAACGAGAAACCAAAGTAGTAATAATAATTTCATAAAAATCCTATAAATGCAAAATATTCATAAATATTCTCCATTTCCCAGTGAGGACAATTGACCAATACCAAAATAATATTATGACTTTTTTCCTATTTCTCATTTGATTGCAAATTTATACAAACAGGATAAGAAAGAAAAACTATCAACCGCCACCCCTATTTTTCTGCACATAAGGAAAAACATTAAATAATTCATGATATTATTTCCGTTATACGGAATTTGTAATCAAAATTGCCAATACAACATTGGAAATGTGACTTCTGTTTACTGTCTGTAAAATGACAACAAACATCGATTGAAAAAAAATTTTTTTGTGAAGAAATAGATAACAAAACTACATTTTATGGATGTTGCAATAAGGTCTTTTTATAAATCCTGGGAGTATTAATGTCTTAGTTTTTTTGTTTTGCCTTTGTCATACCGCATACGAAATAAGACGAAAAATTAAAAAAAAAAAAATAAAAAACTAGAAAATAAGTAAGAAAACACAAAAATATACTTGTACTTCAACACCCTTAAAGTATACTATTGTTAGAATTTTTCCATCTATTCATATTGTTTAGTTTACGTGTTGTTTATGTTCCATAAACATATCCCGGGATGTACAGTAGTGGGTAATTGTTGTTTTTAAAAGGATTGTATTTTTGATTATTTACACAATACATGGATTTAAAATTGATTTTGTCTACGTGCCACTGTTGCAACATCTCTGCACCTTAATCATACTCTGCAGGGATTTAAAGATTTTTCTAGACTAAAGTCTGCAAAAGAAATGCAACAAGGTATCCATCCATCCAACTAGAAGTGGCGGTAAATCAAGCATGTTTTTGCCATCTTGCGTATATTGTTTAGTTTTTTTTTGCACTCTAATGGCAAAAAAATGCTGCTTTCTTCATTTTGAGCAAATATATAAATACCAATACAACAACACAGGCAGACAGAACAACAAACTTCCACTTATTGGCCACAAATAAGAGGTCAAGTAAGTATTAGTAGCTTTTTTCTCTGTTGAAAAACTATCCCACAGTTTTCTTAACAATTCACATTTTTTTAACAGGAAGACCTTAACAAATGGATTTCGTGAAACTAAATGGATGTTTTCATCTATTTTTTAGATACAGGAATTTTAAATCTGGTTTCATTTTAACGTTTATGTAACTCTTCCAGTATGAGTTAAAAAGTTTATTGTTTACATTGCATTTCTTCATATTGCCACATAGAAGGAGAAGCATGTATAGAATCCTTTTTTTCACAGACAATCTTTCGCCATTTAGTAAACACCCCTGGCGGCAAACGTTAACCTGCAACTATTGTTGAGACTGCTGGCTGTGAAACATAAATTATTGTTACAGTTGCATAGAGATGATGCAACAATTTAGTTTGTTTGGTTTTTCATTTTTAGGTCCATTAAGGTGAAATATCTTTCTGTTTATGTTACGACTTTTTTTCGATGGGTTATTTATCAAATAAATAGGAAGGAAGTTTTATTAAACAGTAAGTAGTAAATATTTGAAGAAATTTGCAGAAGTTCATATATAGCAGAGAACTGGATGCTAGGAATACATAAATCGGGAGGTTTTATATTAATCCCTCGATGATTTATATAAGTTGATGATTTTAAAACTGAACTTTCGAGGTAATCTATATTCATGTTTTCATGTTTTATTGTATATTATGACTTAGTTTAAATGAAAGAAAAATTAAAGACAAGTCGATATTATATTGAGAAATTTGAAATAATTCAATTAATTTAATAACTGACCAACTTAAAATACTGTAAATACCTGCAGAGGTCCTATACACTGACTATAGTTATAGTGACCAGCAAAGGTCTAATTCACGGCTTAGATTAGGTCTTCACATTAAAAGTGTAATTCGGAATTGGAATAAACAGCCCAAAATATTCCTTAGATTATTCAAAACTTAATTTTTTAATAAAAATGACTATAGACTAGACTATAGACTAGACTATAGACTACACTATAGACTACACTATAGACTAGACTATAGACTAGACTATAGACTAGACTATAGACTAGACTATAGACTAGACTATAGACTAGACTATAGACTAGACTATAGACTAGACTATAGACTAGACTATAGACTAGACTATAGACTAGACTATAGACTAGACTATAGACTAGACTATAGACTGGACTATAGACTAGACTATAGACTAGACTATAGACTAGACTATAGACTAGACTATAGACTAGACTATAGACTAGACTATAGACTAGACTATAGACTAGACTATAGACTAGACTATAGACTAGACTATAGACTAGACTATAGACTAGACTATAGACTAGACTATAGACTAGACTATAGTATAGACTATAGACTAGACTATAGACTAGACTATAGACTAGACTATAGATAGACTATAGACTAGACTATAGACTAGACTATAGACTAGACTATAGACTAGACTATAGACTAGACTATAGACTAGACTATAGACTAGACTATAGACTAGACTATAGACTAGACTATAGACTAGACTATAGACGACTATAGACTAGACATAGACTAGACTATAGACTAGACTATAGACTAGACTATAGACTAGACTATAGACTAGACTATAGACTAGACTATAGACTAGACTATAGACTAGACTATAGACTAGACTATAGACTAGACTATAGACTAGACTATAGACTAGACTATAGACTAGACTATAGACTAGACTATAGACTAGACTATAGACTAGACTATAGACTAGACTATAGACTAGACTATAGACTAGACTATAGACTAGACTATAGACTAGACTATAGACTAGACTATAGACTAGACTATAGACTAGACTATAGACTAGACTATAGACTAGACTATAGACTAGACTATAGACTAGACTAGACTAGACTATAGACTAGACTATAGACTAGACTATAGACTAGACTATAGACTAGACTATAGACTAGACTATAGACTAGACTATAGACTAGACTATAGACTAGACTATAGACTAGACTATAGACTAGACTAGATAGACTATAGACTAGACTATAGACTAGACTATAGACTAGACTATAGACTAGACTATAGACTAGACTATAGACTAGACTATAGACTAGACTATAGACTAGACTATAGACTAGACTATAGACTAGACTATAGACTAGACTATAGACTAGACTATAGACTAGACTATAGACTAGACTATAGACTAGACTATAGACTAGACTATAGACTAGACTATAGACTAGACTATAGACTAGACTATAGACTAGACTATAGACTAGACTATAGACTAGACTATAGACTAGACTATAGACTAGACTATAGACTAGACTATAGACTAGACTATAGACTAGACTATAGACTAGACTATAGACTAGACTATAGACTAGACTATAGACTAGACTATAGACTAGACTATAGACTAGACTATAGACTAGACTATAGACTAGACTATACTAGACTATAGACTAGACTATAGACTAGACTATAGACTAGACTATAGACTAGACTATAGACTAGACTATAGACTAGACTATAGACTAGACTATAGACTAGACTATAGACTAGACTATAGACTAGACTATAGACTAGACTATAGACTAGACTATAGACTAGACTATAGACTAGACTATAGACTAGACTATAGACTAGACTATAGACTAGACTATAGACTAGACTATAGACTAGACTATAGACTAGACTATAGACTAGACTATAGACTAGACTATAGACTAGACTATAGACTAGACTATAGACTAGACTATAGACTAGACTATAGACTAGACTATAGACTAGACTATAGACTAGACTATAGACTAGACTATAGACTAGACTATAGACTAGACTATACTAGACTATAGACTAGACTATAGACTAGACTATAGACTAGACTATAGACTAGACTATAGACTAGACTATAGACTAGACTATAGACTAGACTATAGACTAGACTATAGACTAGACTATAGACTAGACTATAGACTAGACTATAGACTAGACTATAGACTAGACTATAGACTAGACTATAGACTAGACTATAGACTAGACTATAGACTAGACTATGGACTAGACTATAGACTAGACTATAGACTGGACTATAGACTAGACTATAGACTAGACTATAGACTAGACTATAGACTAGACTGTAGACTAGACTATAGACTATAGACTAGACTATAGACTAGACTATAGACTAGACTATAGACTAGACTATAGACTAGACTATAGACTAGACTATAGACTAGACTATAGACTAGACTATAGACTAGACTATAGACTAGACTATAGACTAGACTATAGACTAGACTATAGACTAGACTATAGACTAGACTATAGACTAGACTATAGACTAGACTATAGACTAGACTATAGACTAGACTATAGACTAGACTTTTTTTTTTCATTTTTTTCATTTCAAGTGGAAAGTTTTATATTGTAAAATTACACTGCTATGATTAACGACACCTGTACGTATACGTGTTAGTGATTTATTGATATTACAAATATTAAGTATACGCCTAATTAAGAAGTAAAAAGTCGAAAAACTTCGGTTTTGCTATACTATTTTTCTATGTTATATTTTTCTATTCCCCAAATCGTAATCATCTAAATTGTAATGCACTTATCTTTACATATATATATTTTATTGTTTCGCTTTTAAATTTATTACGTTACTTTCCAATTATTTATTTAATCCAATGCAATTTATTTACTTAACATCTTTTTAATACAACAATCCTTTCTTTTTTCACAATTCGATTTATTTGCAGTTTGTGTTTACGTGAGTATTGTATTGAAATCTTGCGTTCGGCATACAATACATTAGTACGTCAAGTGAGACGTGTATTGGAACGTAATTCTGGATCAACCAGTCATGATGATTCGTACTTATTGTGGGTCATACGTTTCTTTATGGAATTCAATCGTCTAAGTGATATGAAATTGGAATTAGTAAGGTAAGTTGGTATTTTTTTAAGTTTTTTTTTCTTCATAGAAAATGAATTTGAGTTTTAAATACGACTATGCCGAATCACATATACCCACCATTCGATTTATTCATTTATTAGATTTATGTTAAATTGCGTTAACATATATCGATATTTATATGAGCTCAGGGTGATATTTGGAAATATTAATGGCTTGGTAAAATCTTGGACCGATATTAACAATTTTCAAAGTAGTTAAATAAAATTTCAGACCTGTACTTGCAGCTTGTAGACTTTAAGTTATTTCAACAGACTGACGGATGGAAAGACAGACATATAGAATGACAGAGCAAGGTTAGATCGTGCTAGAAATCACCCAGTTTATATATACTTTTTGGATCTAAGACCAATTTTTCGATATGTTACAAACGAAATGACAGAATGACATCCTTTTTGATGTTGGATGTAAGAACTACTTAAAAGTTGTTTGGTTGTACTTTTTTCCGCACCTGCCTGCCCACTGCTCTCTTTACTGTTTACTCAAACTTTTCTATTATTATTTCTTATTCTTCATTATTTTTAGTTTCAGTGTTCTTAGTTTTTTGTTTCTTACGTTTTTCCTTTTTAAAAACGTAATGCAACAACAAGCAGGCAGAGAGGACAAAACAAAAAGTAAACACCTTTTAGAAAATTGCATAGAGTGTTTTCTATTATTTTTATTTTCCCACTGCCAATCTCTCCCAGGAATCAGCAAGTTTTTCTATATTTCTTCTGTTACTTTCATTTCTTCGATATATAAGTTTAGTTTTTTTTGAGTTTAGTTCTTTAACAAATTAAATTTAACATAGTTTTACAAGAAGTTGTACTTGTATATTATTATTATTATTACTGTTGTTATATTCCTTATGCATTTCCTTTGAAATTCTCCTGCTCCTTTTGCTTGCAGTGTTGTCTTAAGAAAAGAAACTTGCAAATATTTTCCAAGATTTTTGGTTTTGTTCGTTTGTTGTACATTTTGGCTATTTGCACAGTTGTTTAGTTTGGTGTTGGATTTGTATTTCATTTATTTGAAACTATTCAAGGATATTTTATCGAAACGAGATTTGCATCATTTGAGTTTGATATTTTTAAGTTTTCTAAGAATTTTTTTTATTATACAAACATTTTTCATTTTTCATTCATTCATTTAAATTTAATAGGTTAAAGCAAAAGTATAGATTTCGTAGTATATTATTATTTTTTTATAAAATATAGGTTTTCCTGAGATCTTCGTGAGAACCAACAAAAACTATTAATATATTATTACATTCGTTAGAGACAAACCATCCAAATTTCGGAATTGGATGATATGATTGGGTAGAGGGGGTTTTAAAAGTAAAATAAACAAGTCCTTCATAATCCGTAGAACTTAAAGCATAAAGCTAGAAATATACAACCACAGTCTATAGTCTAGTCTATAGTCTAGTCTATAGTCCTAGTCTATAGTCTAGTCTATGGTCTAGTCTATAGTCTAGTCTATTAGTCTAGTCTATAGTCTAGTCTATAGTCTAGTCTATAGTCTAGTCTATAGTCTAGTCTATAGTCTAGTCTATAGTCTAGTCTATAGTCTAGTATATAGTTCTAGTCTATAGTCTAGTCTAGTCTAGTCTCTGTCTAGTCTATAGTCTAGTCCTATAGTCTAGTCTATAGTCTAGTCTATAGTCTAGTCTATAGTCTAGTCTATAGTCTAGTCTATAGTCTAGGTCTGATAGTCTAGTCTATAGTCTAGTCTATAGTCTAGTCTATAGTCTAGGTCTATAGTCTCGTCTATAGTCTAGTCTATAGTCTAGTCTATAGTCTAGTCTATAGTCTAGGTCTATAGTCTAGTCTATAGTCCTAGCTATAGTCTCGTCTAGTCTAGTCTATAGTCTAGTCTAGTCTATTCTATAGTCTAGTCTAGTCTAGTCTATAGTCTAGTCGATAGTCTAGTCTATAGTCTAGTCTATAGTCTAGTCTAGTCTATAGTCTATAGTCTAGTCAGTCTAGTCTATAGTCTAGTCATAGTCTAGTCGTATAGTCTAGTCTAGTCTAGTCTAGTCTAGTCTATAGTCTAGTCTACAGTCTAGTCTAGTCTAAGTCTATAGTCTATAGTCTATAGTCTAGTCTATAGTCTAGTCTATAGTCTAGTCTATAGTCTAGTCTATAGTCTAGTCTATAGTCTAGTCTATAGTCTAGTCTATAGTCCTAGTCTATAGTCTAGTCTATAGTCTAGTCTATAGTCTAGTCTATAGTCTAGTCTATAGTCTAGTCTATAGTCTAGTCTATAGTCTAGTCTATAGTCTAGTCTATAGTCTAGTCTATAGCTAGTCTATAGTCTAGTCTATAGTCTAGTCTATAGTCTGTCTATGGTCTAGTCTAGAGTCTAGTCTATGTCTAGTCTATAGTCTAGTCTATAGTCTAGTCTATAGTCTAGTCTATAGTCTAGTCTATAGTCTAGTCTATAGTCTAGTCTATAGTCTAGTCTATAGTCTAGTCTATAGTCTAGTCTATAGTCTAGTCTATAGTCTAGTCTATAGTCTAGTCTATAGTCTAGTCTATAGTCTAGTCTATAGTCTAGTCTATAGTCTAGTCTATAGTCTAGTCTATAGTCTAGTCTATAGTTCTCTATAGTCTAGTCTATAGTCTAGTCTATAGTCTAGTCTGTAGTCTAGTCTATAGTCTAGTCCATAGTTTAGTCTATAGTCTAGTCTATAGTCTAGACTATAGTCTAGACTATAGTTTTTCCTATAGTCTAGTCTTTAGTGTAGTCATTAGTCTTGTCTGAAGACTAAATTTTAAAATAAATATCTCAATAACTCAACTACTCAATTCAAATCACTGTACAGCTTTCTTTAACTGTAAGTCTATTTTTTCCAAGTCTATATTATGCAATCTGTACCATTGTGTTGTTTATTTATGTACATTGTTTGTCCGTCCCTTTGTGCTGTTGTGATGAAACAACATTGACGTTAAGTGAAAAAGTCTTAGGAATACTACACTAAAATCTTAACAATTTTTTGGTTACTTAAAAATTAGTTTGTATACAATGACAAAAATGAAACATTACAAAAATATTGTCATTCCTAAAATATTTAAACTCCAGTCTAATGCTGTTGCAGTTTCTACTGAACCACCCCCCCCCCTCCCCACAGTGTGGTATGAAGTTTTAGTTTTATTATTCAAAAGTTTCGCCAATTTATTCATTTTCCTTTTCCTTCAACGTCGTCATCATCTGGACAACAAGCTGTTGTTATTAGTTGCTGCCACTGTCAAATGTTTCCAGTGTAGACTTTTAAGTCAAAACCGTGTTGCATCAATTTGTCTATGTGTTTTGTTTTGTTCGTTTTTCTATTGTGACTTGCAAAATTTCTTTTGGCTCAAAACTGCATTATCGTGGAAGTTCTCCAGCTAAAAATAAATAAAAACAAACGGAAATGTGCTTTTCTTTTGCTGGTGTTTTCAAAATTCTTTTAACAGTAGATATAACAACAATAAAGAAGTTACAAAAAAAAAACTCCGTAAGTTATTGTTGTTAAAAGCGTAATAAACTAAAAAAGCAATTTGTTGTTTACATTACTTTAAAAAGCCAACAAACACTTAACATTTTCAGCTGCTTCCCTTAAATTTTATGATTTTCTTGGAATTTAACAAAGTTTATAGTTGCTTAGAAATATTTTAAGAAAATAGAAAAGTTTTGATTCAACAAGCTTATGGAGGTGGGAAGATGAAGTCTTAATAGTTCCTTGATATTGAAGTCTAGTTTTGGGCATTCGTTTAATTGTGTCCTTAATGGTTTGTTCTTTATCTTAATCTTGATCGCATTGGCTTTAAAATGTAAATATTTTTCAATTGGTATTTCGGTCAAAAATACGTTTAAAATAATTAAATCTTTTCAACAAATCTAATATAGAGATTTTATCCTCATGCTAATAAGTATTCATTTTTTAGTTTGATCTTATCCTTTTCATCATTGTTTCCCATTTAATGAATTATCAACAACATTAAATTCTTACATGTAGTACTTTTACTACTAATACGGTCATTTACCTAATCCAGCTTTACTTTCTTTTTGTCTTTAAGTCTATTAATTCTATAGAAAATTAAATCCAATTAAAAATTTCTTTTCAATTTTTATACAAGTTTTTCTTTTCATTTTCGGTTTAACCCAGACATATTCACACACATACACTCACGTACTTATATGAAGTTTGTTGACGTGTTTAGAGTTTAGTTTCCTTTTTAACTACATATATAGTATAAAGAATCCTTAGACATATTTAATAGATCTATAGAATAAAATATACACATCTATGCACTTGTATGATGGCTAACAAATAGAAAATATTCTACTCCTTAGAAGTGGAAGTTGTAGTGTAGCTGCCAGAAAGATGAGTGGAGTGATGTTGTATTTGCAAGTGTTTATTTCCACTTGAAGAAATTTAATTTCGTTAATGAGTTTTGCTTCCTTAAAACCTGACTTCTTTGGATACCTTTTTTACTTTTTAGCGCATGAGAGTGTTTAATTTTTAGTCAATGAATAAAGTGTTTGTATGAAAAATTCTCTTGCTCTGTTACCAAGAATAGCAGTGGAATATCTAAGGTGATTTAGTTTTGTTTTTCCATTTGGAGTTTTAATATCCGTTTTTTTTTTTTTTTTTTTTGTTATTTTTCTTAATGTTTCTTTCATTTTCTACCTTTTGCTTTTAAACTTGCACTATTATTCGATACTAAGTAGTCAGTCAGTTAGTCAACTAGTCATTCATTTAATTTCTGTGATGTTGACGATGATGTCGACTATGATGGTCTTAAATATTATTATTGTAAAAGTTAAACTATTTCTTTTATGATGTACTGTGGAAGATACTGGAGTGGTCTACCCCTTTATGCCCTGACAACACTTCGATATTCCCGACCTTTATACAGTCAACAAACATTACAAGTTGGAAAGTAGTATAGTGTTCTTTCTAATTTCAGCTAACTAACTAACTAACTAACTACTAACTAACTAACTAACTAACTAACTAACTAACTAACTACTAACTAACTAACTAACTAACTAACTAACTAACTAACTAACTAACTAACTAACTAACTAACTAACTAACTAACTAACTAACTAACTAACTAACTAACTAACTAACTAACTAACTAACTAACTAACTACTAACTAACTAACTAACTAACTAACTAACTAACTAACTAACTAACTAACTAACTAACTAACTAACTAACTAACTAACTAACTAACTAACTAACTAACTAACTAACTAACTAACTAACTAACTACTAACTAACTAACTACTAACTAACTAACTACTAACTAACTAACTAACTAACTAACCTAACTAACTAACTAACTAACTAACTAACTAACTAACTAACTAACTAACTAACTACTAACTAACTAACTAACTAACTAACTAACTAACTAACTAACTAACTACTACTAACTAACTAACTAACTAACTAACTACTAACTAACTAACTAACTAACTAACTAACTAACTAACTAACTAACTAACTAACTAACTAACTAACTAACTAACTAACTAACTAACTAACTACTAACTAACTAACTAACTAACTAACTAACTAACTAACTAACTAACTACTAACTAACTAACTAACTAACTAACTAACTAACTAACTAACTAACTAACTAACTAACTAACTAACTAACTAACTAACTAACTAACTAACTAACTAACTAACTAACTACTAACTAACTAACTAACTAACTAACTAACTAACTAACTAACTAACTAACTAACTAACTAACTAACTAACTAACTAACTAACTAACTAACTAACTAACTAACTAACTAACTAACTAACTAACTAACTAACTAACTAACTAACTAACTAACTAACTAACTAACTAACTAACTAACTAACTAACTAACTAACTAACTAACTAACTAACTACTACTAACTAACTAACTACTAACTAACTAACTAACTAACTAACTAACTAACTAACTAACTACTAACTAACTAACTAACTAACTAACTAACTAACTAACTAACTAACTAACTAACTAACTAACTAACTAACTAACTAACTAACTAACTAACTAACTAACTACTAACTAACTAACTAACTAACTAACTAACTAACTAACTAACTAACTAACTAACTAACTAACTAACTAACTAACTAACTAACTAACTAACTACTAACTAACTAACTAACTAACTAACTACTAACTAACTAACTAACTAACTAACTAACTAACTAACTAACTAACTAACTAACTAACTAACTAACTAACTAACTAACTAACTAACTAACTAACTAACTAACTAACTAACTAACTAACTACTAACTAACTAACTAACTAACTAACTAACTAACTAACTAACTAACTAACTACTAACTACTAACTAACTAACTAACTAACTAACTAACTAACTAACTAACTAACTAACTAACTAACTAACTAACTAACTAACTAACTAACTAACTAACTAACTACTAACTAACTAACTAACTAACTAACTAACTACTACTAACTAACTAACTAACTAACTAACTAACTAACTAACTAACTAACTAACTAACTAACTAACTACTAACTAACTAACTAAATAACTGACTAACTATTTCTTTTATCTAACTTACTGACCTTCTATCTCCCAATTCTATCTATTCTCCTCTTCTCCCACATTTTACTTCATAACTAGTCTTTTTGAAAAAATTTGCTTTTGGATAAACCGGTTTTCCGGTTAATCTCTAGAAAACCGGTTTGTGGGTTAACCATATGGTTGGCCAAAATTGATTCAGAAATTGTTCTTAAATAAATATGACCACAGCCTTAAAAACCCAAATATGCAATAAAAATACTTTTTTGTTTTTGCGAGTGCAACCACTGTATCTTGTTATAAAATTTTCAAAACTACATTCCTTTTCATATCATCCTGGGTATTTAATGTACTTTCGTTTTTGTCTTTATTTTGTTTTTTCGTACAAAACATTATTTAAAAACTCATTTTCTTTTCTTCTATAAAGTAGTACTTAAGAATAATACTTTGTATAAATACCTAAGTATGTATGTTTTATTTCTCCTTTTCATGTAGTAACATTTCTTTTATACATATTGTATTTTTTTTTTAATTTTAATTTCTTTTATCTGCTTTCTTTTCTATAGCGAATCATTGAGCGTTCAGTGCTTTCATTGGGTTCTAACACGTATGCAACATGATATGGACATGATTGTTAGCGACAAGAAACAAGCTCGTCTTTGGGCCAAACGTTTACATGTTGCTTTACTGGTAAGTTTTGGGAAAAAATTAAAAAATTTTAAAGCAAAATTCAGAATAAATTTTACTAGCTACGAGTCGTAACATACCAGCACGTTTATATAACATACACCACGTATGTTAGCAAACTTGCAGGTATTTGCAGTCTAAAGAGTATGTGTTAATGTTTTATTTTGTGATTATTTAAAATAATTTCAACGTCTGGCAATTTTCGAAGACTTGTTAAGGGGGGTTGACAATATTGTTGTTTCCAATTCAGGTTCTTTCTTCTTTTCATAAAAGATCTTTTAAGTTTTTGGCTCATAAGCAGACGGTGAACTTTTTTTAAATCTCTGTGTGTTTGTATTTAGTTAAAGGGTTGTTAAATTAAATACTGTTTTATTGTTTTCATTTAAAATTCAATCCTTGAACGTAGGTAAGTGATTGTTTTTGGAGAGCTCATTCTCAAGTATTTTAGTTTTTTTTTTTTTTTTTCATTACTATCTAAGTTATAAAGCGATAACTGTTGGGACTTCTTGGACGAGTTTAAATACTATGTACGTTCAGTTTTGCAAAAGTAAAGTATTTACTTTAAAAATTTCTAATGATCTTAAGACTGCTTAGTAGGACTAGGTAGGGCCAACCTACGGATGTTAGGACAGGTCAATTATCTGTCAACCTATCCCAGATCCAGTTTCTTCAAATCCTCCATATTTACTTTCTGTAGTCCTTTCTCTCATTTTCCCTTGAAACCGTATGTTATAAATTCACATTTTTTGTTTTTTTTTTACCCTCCTTGTCGAGAATGTGTTAAAAAAACAAGTAAAAATTCCTGCAACAAAAGTCAAAGTCACGTGTTGCATGTTATGCAATACGAGAGCTGATCTCCTACCCACTACTGGAGGTAGCCAAAACAGAATCTGAGTACAAAAAAATAAAAGAACGAAAAATGCTGTTTTTACACTTCATTGCATTTACGTGTAGTAACGAACGTTTCAGCAGACAAAAAAATGCGAAACGTTGCAACGACAGCAATAACATCTTTGCAACAGCATCAGAAAAAACATGAACAAAAAATTATATAAAATAAAATCTTGTAGAAATTAATCATGTTAAAACATGTACGCAAAAAAACAAACAAGTTAAGTAAAATCAAGGAGAATTATAAATTTGACTTAATTCTTTAATAACAAAAAAATTTTATAAGAAAGTTCAAAGAATAAGTGCTGCAGCTTATTGAGGTGAATTGACAAATTAAAATTTATGTAGGAATAATTAATGAACACAGACTAGACAGTGATTAAAGGTTATATTTTCTTGTAAATTGCATAGGAAAAGTGAGATTTGTTAGAAAAGTTCTTCACAATCTTTAGTATTTAAGTACTAGTTATAATTTTAAGCTTTAGAACTTATTGACCCAAAGTGTTTATAATATTTCAATAACATCCGTTGTAAAAACATGTAGGATAAAAATATAAAAAAATACACCACGTTATCAAAACAAACAAAAAATAATAACGTGTTACCAAAGTGACAACGCTAGGTTGTCATACAGAACGTTGCGTTGTTGAAATGACAACGATGCATTACCGAAATGACACAAAACATAATCGAAATGACAACAATGCCTTGTTGCAATGACAACGATGCTTCGTCAGAATTGCAACGGTGGTTGTCAAAATAATAACTGGGTGTTATTTACATTTTATACACATCCGTTGTCTAAATATTAACAAACGTGGTAAGCTCACTTTTGACAACGCATTGTATCAATTTCGGTACTTTTCTAAAGTTTTTTTCCCTCTGCGTACATGTAAATATTTACGAAAATCTTTCAATTCTGTTGGAGTATCTTCTTTGTTTTAATTTCTTACACTATGGGACATAATTTTCATTCGTAATCCATAATTTTTAAATAAAAAAAATTAATATAATTTTATAATGAACATTTTTGAATATCGTACGTGACACATCGTATGTAACAGTTTTTTTAAGTGTTTTTCTGAAATTAATCCTTAAATGGAATTAGGGTCAAATGAGGTCCAATCGCTATGAAAATCGGCATAATGGTTTACGCTTATATACATTTTAGATCTGCCGATTTTTGAAGGGATAGTATTATAATTAACAGAATAATGAGCTAAGTGATATTTGCGAGTTCCTTCCCCCTTACAGATTCTTATTTAATAAGGACCCTGCATGTTACGATTTCTGTTTCTAGGTTTAATATTATCGAAAATTTAAAAAGTACCATTTGGGGGGCAAAAAATTACCAAAAAGTTTCTCTTACTCATTCAATAAGGACCGTGTATGTTTAGTAATCATGTATTTTGGGTTCATATATTGAATGCACAAGAGTCACCTGTAATAGATTATAATTTATTCATGTTAAATTTTATGTTTCTACAAAGAGGGGGAAAAAATATACACGCCTGGTATTAAATTGCCACCAAATTTTTTAATAACATCCTTTGTCAAGTATATACATACATACAACAACAACATGTACTGTTGACCACGCAACGTTGTCAATATTGCAACAATTCGTTGTCGCAATCTAAATGTTATGCACATACATTGTCTAAACGTTAACAAACGTGGCAGGCTCACTATTAACAGTTTGAGCTTACCACTTTAGTTAACTTTTAGACAATGGATGTGCATAAAATTTAGATTGCGACAACGACTTGTTACAATGTTGACAACATTGCGTGGTCAACATTACATGTTGTTGGTGTATGTATGTATATACTTGACAACGGATGTTATTGAAAAATTTGGTGTCAATTTGATAACAGGCGTGTATATGTTTTTTTCCTCTGTGTAGGTTCAATATTAAAGAAACTACAAAAAGTAACATTTGCTGAACGAAAAGGTACCAATAATTTCCATCCTACATATTCTTATTCAATTATAACCGTAATGAATAAATATTTTCGTTTCTATATTAATATCGTTAAAATTAAAAAAAATACGATTGGAGCGATGGAATAAATTCTTCCTTAGTGGAAAGTTCTTATAAGAAGAATACCATTTGCCCCCTTTTGCCCAGGAATAGACTTTTCGGGAATTAGTTTTGCTAACCAGCAATAATTTGTACAAACTTGATTTTATGTACAGTTTGCCTTACTTTTGAGTACTCTAATAATGACTTACATATAACTACTTATATACATATAAACTTATTTTGAAATACGTGAGTTCAGAATGAAAATATTTCTGTGTGAAAACCAATCGTAATAGTATTGTGAGTACAACAACGCTATTACGAATATGAAACACTGCTTCGTATTCTGTGAACACAATTTTTTTTCTGAGTAAACAAAGCAAGTTTTTAATTACCCATTTGTAAGAACTTATTAAAGTACTTACTTGTAAGCGTGTTAAAAAAATAAGTTAAAATGCTAATGTAAACCCAAAAAAATTAGTTTTATTTGGCATTTGAAATCATTACTTTTCAATTTAAGTTTCTGCTGGGAATAATGTATGATCAGTTTGAATCAGTTTTTATTGCTTGGATTAATTTAGACCAACAAGATTTCTCTATGAAGCTATTAAAGGCGGTTAGGGAAATATGAAACATAAGTGAATATCCCTTTCGGCATTCTTTAACATTATTAAGTTTCATTAATAAACCATATTGTTGTATTCTTTTTTGCTCAATCACATGTTTTTCCTTAGATTTTCATCATCCAATAAAACATTTTTTTCTACACATACTCTTAAACTTTTAATATTTTTATAGAATTTTTTTCCTCTTACTTTCTCTCATTTTATTTGATTATTTTTCCATTCCATACGATATTCAATTCTATTTTCTAAACTCGTTTCTTTATTTTCCCTATTTTATTTTTTAATTAAAGACATTCCGTGAATTGCTTCATAGTATGTTGGCATTACAAAAACTTCAAGATGACAATGCTCGAGCACTGTTCGATATGTTATTGAACAATGTCTGTTATGTCCTGGAATATCGAGAGACAATATTGCATCTGTTAATGAACTACAATGAGGCGCACAGTACCAAGTAAGTATAACGATGTATGTAAATATTTCTAGTTGCTATAATAGTATCTATGAATGTATGTTTGTATTTGCTAAGGAAGTATGGGAAAACACTATGAGTATGTGAAAATGAACATGCACATTTTTAGGAAAACAAAAAAAAAAAAAAGTATAAATGAAAAATTCAGTAAAATCTATAACAAAAAATACCATCACATATTTGTTATTAAGTCTGTGTATGTGGTACGAAAAACACAAAACAAACTAAAAAAAGAATAGAATTTCCTTAATGGTTTGAGGTTTTTAGATCTTATGCTTTTTTCTCTATTTATTAAAGGAACACATTGTTTCTCCATTAGAGTTTGAGTTACTACGTGTATGAGTAAAATGATGACATTGCTACTAACTTGAAATTTTTACTACTGCCACTAACACTACTACCAATAATTGTACGACGACAGTTGATTCCTGACTCCTTCTGCTGACTTCATAGTGATATTGTGATGTTTAAATGAATGCTGGTAAAGTAGTGTTTTTGACTTTTAGTGTCCACTTGTTTTTCTAATAGGATTATTAAGGAGTTATTTTGTAGTGGGGTAGAGAGGGGTTAGTGCAAAAGGAGATTCGTGTATGGCGTTTAAGGAGGTGGTAAATTGAAAGAATATTTGTTATACGTGCTTGATTGTTAAAATCTAGTTCCTGTTGTTGTACTTGATTTTACTCTATTATATTTTGTTAAGATTTTTGTATATGATGAATGACATTAAGGTGGCAAGCACTAGTTGCAAAAACTCTGTTCCTAGAAAATAATAAAACTTTGGGCCACATGTTCTGGGATCGAAAAATGGGAAACATTTTTTGATCATCATTGACTAGACTATAGACTAGACTATAGACTAGACTATAGACTAGACTATAGACTAGACTATAGACTAGACTATAGACTAGACTATAGACTAGACTATAGACTAGACTATAGACTAGACTATAGACTAGACTATAGACTAGGCTATAGACTAGACTATAGACTAGACTAGACTAGACTATAGACTAGACTATAGACTGACTATAGACTAACTATAGACTTGACTATAGACTAACTATAGACTAGACTATAGACTAGACTATAGACTAGACTATAGACTAGACTATAGACTAGACTATAGACTAGACTATAACTATACTATAGACTAGACTATAGACTAGACTATAGACTAGACTATAGCTAGACTATAGACTAGACTTAGACTACTATAGACTAGACTATAGACTAGACTATAGACTAGACTATAGACTAGACTATAGACTAGACTATAGACTAGACTATAGACTAGACTATAGACTAGACTATAGACTAGACTATAGACTAGACTATAGACTAGACTATAGACTAGACTATAGACTAGACTATAGACTAGACTATAGACTAGACTATAGACTAGACTATAGACTAGACTATAGACTAGACTATAGACTAGACTAATAGACTAGACTATAGACTAGACTATAGACTAGAACTATATAGACTAGACTATAGACTAGACTATAGACTAGACTATAGACTAGACTATAGACTAGACTATAGACTAGACTATAGACTAGACTATAGACTAGACTATAGACTAGACTATAGACTAGACTATAGACTAGACTATAGACTAGACTATAGACTAGACTATAGACTAGACTATAGACTAGACTATAGACTAGACTATAGACTAGACTATAGACTAGACTATAGACTAGACTATAGACTAGACTATAGACTAGACTATAGACTAGACTATAGACTAGACTATAGACTAGACTATAGACTAGACTATAGACTAGACTATAGACTAGACTATAGACTAGACTATAGACTAGACTATAGACTAGACTATAGACTAGACTATAGACTAGACTATAGACTAGACTATAGACTAGACTATAGACTAGACTATAGACTAGACTATAGACTAGACTATAGACTAGACTATAGACTAGACTATAGACTAGACTATAGACTAGACTATAGACTATAGACTAGACTATAGACCTAGACTATAGACTAGACTATAGACTAGACTATAGAACTAGACTAGATAGACTAGACTATAGGACTAGACTATAGACTAGACTATAGACTAGACTATAGACTAGACTAATAGACTAGACTATAGACTAGACTTATACTAGACTATAGACTAGACTATAGACTAGACTATAGACTATAGACTCTAGACTAGACTTAGACTAGACTATAGACTAGACTATAGACTAGACTGTAGACTAGACTATAGACTAGACAGTAGACTAGACTATAGGTAATTGAAAAATATAATAATTGCCCCAAGCCTGCCATTTAATAACCCTACCTCATATTCCAATACCATCCTACTAAACATTAATTGTCTTTCTTGCTAAACCCTTCAAACTTCAATAAATAGTTTATTGTCCCTACACTAAGGTTGCTGGCTGTTTGACAAACACTACTAATACAGCCCCTGCCACCATATATATTGTTACATGAGGATTTTTCATAAAATTTCTAAGTTCTTTACTCATTCCAGACATATTCTGTCATCTCTTGTCTCTCATATTTTCTAATGAAAAGGGATCAATTGAATTTTATTTTATTTTTAAGTTATTTTTATCATATTAAAATATAACAACGTGCCTTGGCATAAAATTACTTTATTTAACTTCATATTCTTGTCATTTATTATTTTTATTTTATTTTCTTTTTTGTATGATACACATGCATCCAACGTATTTTCGATAACAAATCCTTTTCATGTTATTACACCTATTTTTTTCCTTCAACGATGGTATCTGCTTTGGTATCATCATCATCATGTTGTCTACCCAATGTGTCAGTAAAAAAAGTCTGTAAAGTTTTTGATGTTCTGCTCTTGTTGTTTTTAAGCTCTCTAAACTTGTCTCAAACAAATATTTACCAAGTCATTATTTAGTCATCGTTACTTGTATATTTTGTTCAGTCTTTTAAAAAATATTGATTGTCTTTTATTTAACACGATGAATAATAAATACATGAATTACCACAGTGATATATCATTGTTTAAGATTTGTCTAAATCAATTAGTGTCTTTCCTCTTGCTGAAAATTGCTTAATACGGTTATTTTATTAACGGTGATACTTCAATTAATACAAGCATTTAACAGGCAGTGTTTAGTTTTATTACTTTGAACATTTTATTTTCTTTAAGTAGTCTTTTTCTGCTTAACTCTCTTTCAATTTATATGAAATTTATAAATTATTTTGAAAATGGCTTCAAATGAAATTCTAAAATATTTTTCCAGGACAAATACATATAAAATATAAATAATTTTTTTGCGTGAGCATTTCTGTTTATCATCATCATTAATAAATTATTTATTTGAAAGAGTGACTAATTTGTTGCTATTTATAAAATTTATTTCATTTGAATATTGAATTTAACACTCTAAGTTCACATTAAAACACATTCGTATAAATAATTTTCCAAATAAAATATTAGAATATTTTCTAATAGTTATTGGTTGGTTATTTGTTGTTGGCAATTGCACATAAATAGAATGCAAAATGCATTTATCAACTACAGATACAAAAATAGATACATACATATATTTTCAATGATGTGAAGAAAAAAGTAAACAAAAATATTAATCCCGTATTGGTCAGTGATGAATTAAATGAAGCCTCTACCAATAGACAGAGAAGAAAATAAAAATGCAAAAGGAAATGGTTTTTATTGGATTTTCATGTGATCGGCTACGACGGCGCATAGTAATATAGGAAAAAGGGGGAAATAAATCTGTAATTACTAAACTTTGATATCGACTTTGAGAATTTTTGGCCTTAAGTTGAATTTTATATGAAAACTAACTATATCCAGTGTGCTTCGCTACCCTTAAAGCAATTTAATTCAAAAAATCCTTTTAAGTTATATATTCCCTTTAGTATTAAATTCATATGGGAGGTGCAACGCCCATTATTGTAAGTTTACTCATTTTTCCAAATGTTCATATGTATTTCAATGTTGTTCTTGAAAAATTTGAGGATTCCATCTCTAACGGTTTCCTAGATATATGAACTTTTGTATGTAATTCACATGGGAGATGCCACGCCCCTTATTGTTTATCAGCCACTTTAATACTGAAATGTTCACGTGGATGTTAAAGTTGTCCATGCTAAATTTGAGGATTCTAGCTCTAACGGTTTCCCAGATATACGAAATTTCGTATTTAATTCATATGGGGGCGCCACGCCCCTTTGGTTTGTTTGACTCTTTTTTTCTAAAAGTTCATATGGATTACAAAAAGAGAAAAATTATATTTTTGGTTTTTTTTTTTAATTGAAATGTATGTACTTTGGACTCAGTCTTGACTTTTACATAATTTTTTTTATTGTTTGATATATACATATGTCATATTAGTCCAATAAAAATAGAGCAAATAGAGAAATTTTTGCATCAGCTATCATTAAAAACTAGAATAGGGAAAATATTGAGTGTAATATATGCCAAACTGCAAGTGATAATTGATAGCTACGACGAGGTTTTTCGACGAGTAGATTCTATATACAGAAAATTACACCCCCCCCCCCCCGGGGAGAATGTTTCCTTGTTGAAATACCCCCATCTTGGTGTATTGCAATCACGGGGTAAAGCCTGCCAGGAATATAAACTGGTGATATCCTCGGTCTTTCCTTGGAATGATTTGACATGGGGTCGAACCAAAGCACCACTTAAGCTGGTACTACGGATGGCCAGTTGCCGGCAGAAATTGTCCTGACTGGTCAGTTGGTTGAGGTTCTGGATCCACGTAGAGGCTGTGGTTTAAACCCAAATTCGCGGAAAGGGGGTGCTTGGTTAAAAGATTGATACACGGTGAGATATACATTTTCGGGATAAGTTTCTGTTAACGGTTTCCTAGTTTCTAGGAACGGTACAAACCACAGGACAATGCTGTGGAGTAATAATATGTTGGAATTGAGCTGATAATGCAAAGATTGGGTATATGATGCAGTGAGATGTACCA